TTTCGTTAACAACTTGTTAACATCATCAGAGCCCTTTGCTCTGATGATGTTAACAGGTTGTTAACAAAAGCTTAGCAATTAATAAAAAAGCCTTTTATCTTACATCCCAGAGCTCTTTATTTTTATCTGATTGACTTTAAATGTCCATACCTGGGATTCCAATATTCAAAATTATATATATATATATATATATATATATATATATATATATGCATGCAGAGAAATTTTAGACAGTGTGATGTCAAAGTTGGTGAGAGAAGTGTTAAAGAAATTATTGAATGCCACGCTTTATGTCAAACTGTCAAAATGTGAATTTCACCAGACCAGATTAGATTATCTTGGCTATAGAATTTCCAACGCGGGCATTGAAATGGACCCAGCCAAAGTGAAAGCTGTAACTGAATGGCAGCACCATGATATGTGACTCATATGACTGCAGGAATGCTGTGATGCTCATAAGCATGAGGACTAGTGATAAGACATTTCTTTTCAGCACCATCATAACTTCAATTCACTGAAGGAATGGTTGTAAGTTAAGGACCACCTGTACAACTGATAGGGGAATGTGATATGGTGTGAGCTTCATCATTATGAAACCCTACCAATATTCACTCATGTGGATTTCCAGAATTACTTTTTCCATGACTTCAATTACTATTACAAAGGAAAACGGAGGCCAACGGAAATTTGAATGAAAAGGCAAAAAAAACCCCAATCAATGGGAGAGAAAAAAATACGGAACATTAAAGGAGTATCTGGACGTGGGAGATTGGAGAAACTGACTTAAAGGAAACAAATGACATTCTGAGAAGTTTAGCAATAATTTTAAAAAAAAACTCCCCAAGCTGAGGCCGGCCCAGTCAGAAAATGACAAATAGATCCAAGAATAGCAGCTTATTTGATTCCAACGGAAGGCAGAATGGAAATCTGGAGAGTGTAATTTACCCATGGCTTTTGGAAGGATGGCTTTGCAAAAGTCCGATTGTGCCCACATTCCTTCCGCTACACTCGATAGCACAACGCTATCGTCTAGAGCCCAAATTGCTTCTGACATCTTCCCGGGCAAAGTTGGGCAGAACAAGGCCTGCTGTAACAGCTGCTTCCTGAACGGGGAATGTGGGAAGCTTGAGGTTCAGACATCCGAAGAAAAATGCTTCTTTTCAGGCCTACAATCTTAACAGTTAGGGACTTCCCTGGTTCCTGTACAGATGTGATCAGAAAAGGATGGAAAAGGCCCCAAAGGTGGAGCAGGAGGCTATCTTTAGCCACATGAGGGGAAAAATATATATATATTTCCCTGATAGTCCCAAAGGTGCTTTTTTTCCACTTTTTTTTTAAAAGACATTTCGCCTGTCACCCTAGAAGCTTCTTCAGCTCTGACTGGATGGTGGGGGAAACGGAAGGATTTATACTCCTTGCAGACCGCTGGTCATTTGCATTTATTTAGAGAGTCATTGAGGCCACTTGGAGGGTGGGAAATGGAAGGATTTATACTCCTTGTAGACAGCTGGACCTTTGCCTTCTTTTAGAGCAGTGGTTCTCAACCTTTCTAATGCCGCGACCCCATAATACAGTTCCCCATGTTGTGCTGACCCCCAACCACTTATACATCACCGGGTGCCAGGGGCATGGCCAAAGGGGGAAAAATGGTGGACAGCCTTGTTTGGTGACCCCCGTGAAATGGTCATTCGACCCCAAATGGGGTCCCGACCCACAGGTTGAGAACCACTGTTTTAGAGAGTTGTTGAGGCCACTTGGAGGTTTATCTATGTCCTCAGGGTCAGCTGAGTGGTGCCAATGGGCGTGGAGCCTTCTTGGAACTGCTGAAAGGACTGTGTGGTAGAGTGGAGAGAGAGGACGTTGTATCCCTCCACCTCTGTTCAGTTTTTGACTTAGATGGCCTCTTTGACCCCCCTCTTTCAAACCATTTGGTCCTCTCAATCCAAAATGTGGACTTTGCTGTCTTCGAAAGAGCGGCCTTGGTCTTCTAAAGGCAGATGGGCTGCTGAATCTTCTCCTGATGGGCTTGTTCTCCTATGTTGTGCCAGCTGTTTATAAAGTGGTTGTTTTGTTTCCCCAACGTACAGATCTGCACATGGCTCCCTGCATGTGAACAGCCCTCCCTCAATAGAGGGGGGGAGACGACATTGACTATCTGCAGCCTACAACCTGGTCCTTTCAGCAGTTCTAAGAAGGCTCCACACCCATTTGCACCACTCAGGTAACCCTGAGGTAAACCTCCAAATGGCCTCAACAACTCTCTAAAAGAAGGCAAATGACCAGCTCTCTGCAAGGAGTATAAATCCTTCCATTCCCACCATCCAGTCAGAGCTGAAGAAGCTTCTGGGATGAGAAGCGAAACGACTTCAAAGAAAAACAAGAAAGTTCAGTTGCCTCATGAAAAAAGCACCTCTGGGACAGCCCTGACCTGGAGGACTGAGACTCTCTAGAGCAGTGGTTCGCAACCTTTTTAATGCCACGACCCCCAACTGGTCGTAAGTCGAGGACTACTCAACTGGTGCAGCACCGTTTGCAGAATGGGACTACGTAGAGATTCTAGGCCAGTGGTTCTCAACCTTTTTAATGCCGTGACCCCCAACTGGTCGTAAGTCGAGGACTATTCAACCGGTCGTAAGTCAAGGACTACTCAACTGGGGCAGCACCGTTTGCAGAATGGGATTTTTGGCGGGCTCAGCAGGGCAGAGACAGCCTGGACAATTCCTATTGGCTTTTGAAAGCCAATAGAATTAGACTCTATTCAAGAGAGTCTATTCTATTGGCTTTCAAAAGCCAATAGAAAAAAAGGGAGGAGCACAGCTAACGAAAAGGGGGGAAAAATGGCGGACTGCGTTGTTTGGTGACCCCTGTGAAATGGTTGTTCGACCCCAAATGGGGTCCCAACCCACAGGTTGAGAACCACTGCTCTAGAGAAATTTCCCTGACAGCTTAGAGAAGGCTCAGCCCCTGTGTTACGACTGTTCCTGTCACATTGGTTAACTGAATCCCTGCAGTTGTTAAATTAGCAACATGGTTGTTAAGTGAATCCGACTTCCCCCTTATCAGAAGGTCACAAAAGGGGAACACGTGACCCCGGGGACACTGCAACCGTCACAAGTACATGCCAGTTGCCGAGCCTCTGGATTTTAATCACGTGACCACGGGGCTGCTGCAGTGGTCGTTAAGTCTGAAAAATGGTCCTAAGTCATTTTTTTTTTCAGTGCCGTTGTGACTTTGAACAGTCACTAAAGGAACCGTTGTAAGCCAAGGACTAATTGATATCTGCAGAAGACGGCCTGCTTTGAAAGATAGGTTACTTTTTTTTTGTACTTCAGAATGCTCTGCAGGCAGAATTGATGCTCTTGGGACACACAGGAAATGCACTTATTGCTCAGCTTCGTTTTTTTGGTGGAAAAAAGAGAGTATTGTGGGGTCCCTGGGGCTCTCTGAGCATGGCTGTTTTCTTGCAGACATTTCATGACCTGACTAGGTAACGTCATCAGCGCTAGCAGGAAGTGGAGTTTGTGGAGGGGAGGAGGAGAACGGAGGTGTCCTTGGGACTCTCTGAATTTGGTTGTTTTCTTGCAAAAGTTTGAGAGCACAATTAGATAACATCGCCACTGCTAGATTGTGCATCCGATACCTGCCCCAAGCCCCCCTCCCTTCTAGCACTGATGATGTTACTTAGTTTGGTCACGAAACGTCTCCAAGAAAACAACCAAACTCACGCAACACCAAGGACCCCACAGTTCCACCCTGAGCTACAAATATTTACTTCCGTAGGAAAGGCTACCTCATTATTTAGTCGGTAAACATTATTTAGTCAGTGGCATTATCTCCCTCTGTATGTCAACGTACCTCATCTCCCCTGAAACTTTCAGTCGATCCCAGATCTCTTTATCTTTTGGGGTGATCGATGTTTTCGCGCCACTTAGAAAGCCTGCGTGAGAAGGACTAGCCTGGATTTGTTTCTTAGCCAGCTCGTGACTCTGGGTCTCAGGAATTTTTGTTCTGGCTTCTTCCTCAGACGGCAAAATCGGTTTGTCTTCCCCCACGATCTCTGACTTGGTCGAAGTCACGGTTACCTTTTTCCCACTAGTGTAAATATTCATTCCAAAAATCAGCAGAGAAGGATTTCGTAGGACAGGGACAACTCAACATGCCCTCCATGGAGTCCCGACATTACAACCTGCAGCATCGCGTCAATGAGGAGGAGCACAGAAACATCTGCAGCAGTTTCAACTCTTGACTAGTATCCTCCGTTTTTTTTTTTGTAAATCATCCTGACATTACTATTATTATCCCTATTAGTTTTACTAGTAGGTTTTTAGCAGACTCAGCATCTTAGATAACCCCTTTAATTCAGATGTAACGTGAAAAGGCAAAAGTAGAGAGGGTATAGTTGAGCCATCTTAAGATCCTAGAACAGGGGTCTTCCAACTTGGCCCTTTGATGACTCGTGGACTTCGACTCCCAGAATTCCTCAGCCAGGCATGCTGGCTGAGGAATTCTGGGAGTCGAAGTCCACGAGTCATCACAGGGCCAAGTTGGAAGACCCCTGGATTGCAGCATCTCTCATCTCAAACCATCACGGTCGCTGCCCAACCTAGTTGGAGATGCTAGCCATCTAGAAAGGACCTAGACAAGAAAAGGGTGATCTAGAACAGGGGTCTTCAAACTTGGCCCTTTGATGACTTGTGGACTTCTGGGAGTTGAAGTCCACAAGTCATCAAAGGGCCACGTTTGAAGACCCCTGTCCTAGAACGTCCAACCTCAAGGTCAGATCTGCTCTCTACCACTTAAAACTCTGCAGAGTTAAACTCCGTCTATCGATGCATTTTCCTCCACTGAGTTTATAGCGATACCTAATTTTGACCATTACGAAGTCTACTTTCCCACACTCTCATGAATTTGGAGATTTGTTTCCAAATATAGCAGCTGGTGGGAGTTTTTACTGGCGCTAAGTATTTCGCCAGGGCCAAGGCTGGCATCTGACAGCCCTGATATACATGTTCTTTGGAGACCTTTCCAAGACATGACTCATTTCACGGAGGCAGACTAGAAATGTTGATACAGAGACGCTGTCCCCCAAAACGAGGCTTTTTAAAAAATCTGCCTTAAAGCTGCTGAAACAAGCAGATCTTGGAAGAGATTTTTCTGAAACTCGCAGGGAGTCCCAATTATCCCACCATTCACTTGGGCAAAAGGACAGACATAGTCTTTATGAGCCAAGTACAAATAAACAGAAAGTATCATGTTTGTGACCTCTACAAAGGCTACTATTTGACACTTTACTATAAATTATACCTTTGGGGTTTGTAGGGGCAAAAAATACATTAGTTTAAGAAAGAAAGAAAGAAAGAAAGAAAGAAAGAAAGAAAGAAAGAAAGAAAGAAAGAAAGAGAAGAAAGGAAGAGAAAGAGAAGGAAGAGAGAGGAAGGAAGGAAGAAAGGAAGGAAGGAAGGAAAGAAAAGGATGGAACGAAGGGAGTAAATAAAAGAAAGAAAGAGAGGAAGGAAGGAAGGAAAGGGAAGGGAAGGAAGGAAGAAAGAGAGAGAAAGAAAGAGAAAGAAAGAAAGAAAGAAAGAAAGAAAGAGGAAGGAAGGAAGGAAGGAAAGAGAGAGAGAAAAGGAAGAAAGGAAGGAAGGAATAAAAAGGAGGGGAAGTAAAGAGAGAGAAAGAGAAAGAAAGAAAGAAAGAAAGAGGAAGAAAGGAAAGAAAGAGAGAAAGAAAGAGCAAAGAAGGAAAGAAAGAAAGAGAGAGAGAGAGAAAGGAAGGAAGGAAGGAAAGAAAGAAAAGGATGGAACGAAGGGAGTAAATAAAAGAAAGAAAGAGAGGAAGGAAGGAAAGGGAAGGAAGGAAAAAGAGAGAGAGAAAGAAAGAAAGAAAGAAAGAAAGAGGAAGGAAGGAAGGAAAGAGAGAGAGAGAGAGAAAAGGAAGAAGGAAGGAAGGAAGGAAGAAAAAGGAGGGGAAGAAAGAAAGAAAGAAAGAAAGAGAGAGAGTTACAATGGCACTGAAAAAAAGTGACTTATGACCATTTTTGACCCTTAAGGACTGTGGCAGCCATCCCCAGGGTCACGTGATCAAAATTCAGAGGCTCGGCAACTGGCATGTACTTAGGACGGTTGCAGTGTCTTGGGGGGGATCATGTGATCCCCTTTTTACGAACTTCTGACAAGCGAAGTCAAAAGCCAAGCCAGATTCACTCTACAACTGTGCTGCCAACTTAACAGCTGCAGTCATTCGCTTAGCAACTGTGGCCAAAAAGGTTGTAAAATGGGTCAAAACTTGCCCAACCAACATCCTGTCTGGGCTCAGTTATGGCCGTGAGTCAACTACTAATTGTTCAACTCCTCAAAATCCACGCATCCAGTTCTAGCTCAGGGCATCGAGACCACTATACAGGTAGCCCTCGGCTTAGGACCACAAGGGAGCCCATTGTTATTGCTGCTAAGTGAGGCATGTGTTAAGTGAGTTTTGCCCCATTTCCCAACCTGCCACCGTTGTTAAGTGAATCACTGCCGTTGTTAAGATAGTCACCCGGTTGTGAAGTGAATCCGGCTTCCCCCACTGACGTTGCTTGTCAGACGGTCGCAAAAGGGGATCACGTGACCTTGGGATACTGCAAGCCTCAGAAGTACATGCTAGTTGCCAAGCCTCTTATTCTGATCATGTGACCCTGGGGATGCTGCAACGGTCGTAAGGGTGAAAAACGGTCATAAGTCACTTGTTTTCAGTGCCGCTGTAACTTCAAGCAGTCACTATATTTATATAGCTATGAGCCAGTGTGCCAGGTGTCTGAATCTTGATCACGTGACCCTGGGGATGCTGCAATGGTCATAAGCACTATTTTTGGTAACACTGTAACTTAGAACGGTCACTAAATGAACTGTTGTACGTTGAGGACTTCCTGCATTTACGTAACAGGACCGACTTTATATCCGTGTCCAACTTTGGCTGCGTGAACCCCGCAGGACGTACAGGACGTCTACACCCGTGACTTCTTCCAATTTCCAAACTCCACTTCTGCCACAAACACGCAGACATGAGCGCACCTGGGACCTTCCCGATTTTTCTTCCTTGCTTCCCTTCCCTTCCGATCTTGGTCTGCGTCAGGAGGAAGGAGGAAATGAGCGAAGGGCAAGGCCCGTTCGTGGCGGTGGAGCCTCGCTCGGCGTACAGCAAAGTCGTCTTTCTCTAGGTCGGGAATCCTATCGCCTCCTTCCTCCTCGGAGTCCGCCTCTTTCGGCTGATAGCACCACGTAAAAGGATTTTCTCTGCGGAGGACGATGTCCCGGGTGAGCTCGTTCACTCGACCCAGGGGTTTCGGACTGGGACGCCACAAAGTGAAACGAGAAATCCAGATGTGAAGCAGACCAGGACTCCTGTCGCTCTCCGGTAAAGTAGGCCAAAATCACGCGACGCGCATGCTTTTTAGTTGAAAGGCAACTTCGCCCCACTCCCAATCTGACCCCCTCTCATCATATTCCACTACACCCCCCATAGTCCCCCGGCATCCAATTTTGGGACTGTTGCTGGGGATGATGGGTCCACATATCTCCATGCTGCAAAACCTGAAAAATCCATGCATAAAACACGTAGCGGCGCTAAAGTTTTATAGCTTTATTAGTGGACCGAGCATGGACACATTAAGGGGGGGGCATCTTTTTACCACATTAAAACAAAATGTCACTCCTCCCAAATACAGGTAGATTTCAACTTATGGCCACAGTTGACCCCCCCCCCCAAAATTTCTGTGGCCAAGTGAGAAATTTGTTAGGTGAGTTTTGCCCCATTTTACGACCTTGCTCGCCTGTTTGTGAAGGGAACCCCTGCCGTTTTTGAAATTGGCAACCAGGTTGTTAAGTAGATCTGGTTTGTCCCCATGGACTCTGCTTGTCAAAAAGTCGCAAAGAGGGATCGTCACGGGATACTGCAACCGTCACAACTGTGAGTCCGTTGTCAAGCATCCGAATGTCAATTCCGCGACCATGGGGGATGCTGCAACGGTCGTCAGTGTGAACAATGGTGATGTCACTTTTATCAGTGCTGTTGTAACTTTGAACGGTCGCTAGATGGATAATTGTAAGTCGAGGACTAGCTGCAGTGCAATAGTCTTGTTTTCTGTCTCCCTGCTAGCTAAGGCAGTTTCTGTATACAACTGTGTATACATTTATCTCCCCTTGCTGCAATAATCGGAACTTAATTTAGGAAAGACTAAAAAGGTTGGATCATGTTTTCATCTTTTGGAGACTCCATAAACCAGTGGTGACAAATCTATGGCAGGGGTGCCAGAGGCGGCACTCAGAGCCCTCTCTGTGGGCACACGCACTGTCGCCCCAGTCCTAGACCTTCAGCTAGGTTTTATAAAACCTTTTCGCTTTAGGCCTCCACCGCCGTGTAGAAAAAAAAAAGGTTCAATTAATCAGTCAATTTCATCTTCTCGCGGGAAAAAAAAAGATCTTGTAAAGTTGGAATTGATTGATTGAACTTTTTAGTCCCATCCAGTCTGCTGTTACCACCGCAGCCACACCCACCCAATGGGCCACACCCACCTGGCACCCGACGATGCATAAGCGGGTTTTGGGTTGCAGTTCAGGCACTCAGTCTCTAAAAGGATCGCCATTACTGCCATAAACTATAGTTTGGGGCATGTTAGCCTTCCAAGATCTACCCAATGGAAGAGAGCTCAAGAACTTTCATCGGCCAAGCTGCCACCTGCCACACTTGTGAGTTCATCAAAGCCTGACACACTCCACCAGCAATTCCATCCACAGACACATGGACCCACAACCAGCCTACAAACCCCTCAGGATCCAAATCAACCGCACAGCCAACTAGAGACAGCACCGAGCCTCAATCATCCCGCGCAATCCCCCACTCCTACCAGCAGTTCATCTCCCAAGGATCCAGACCTGATGTAACCTCCCCATCACAAGACCCATCACAAGCCTCTCACTGATGACTCACACCTGACCCATGACAAGACCCTCACTTGACATACCCACACCTGAAGCCCTTATAAACAGAAGAACAACGACACCGACATCCCCTCAATTCTGCTGAAGATGTTACCTAGCCTCGTAAGGAAACATTCGGAAACCAACCCACAAGCTCGGAGAACGAATCTCCACCCACATGAGACTTTCTTTCTCCAAAGATGCAGCTGTTAAAAGTGGGGGGGGGGGGAGGAAGAAAGCCACATGGCTGTTTCTTCAGTCGCTGTGAGTTGTCCCATTCCGGAGCTGCAAATATTCTCTTCCGATTTGTTTGCTGCCCATGTGTCAGCAATTTTGGAGGGGGTGGAAAAGCTGTCAGGCTAAAGCCCCAGGCCCTTTGCCTCTCCTGAACACATGTGTTGAACATGTCATGCCCAACATAACTGCTGGTCCAAGAACAAAGAGCCAAGGATCTAAAATGGAAATGTAGCATGAGCCTTCTGCATTCTAAACCACTGGATGAATTATCTTAAAATAAACAGGATGAAAGAGACCAAACAAGGAGTGAAGTAGTTCAGGCCCAAGGCTATCGCTGAAGGCCAACAGCCCTTCCACGCATGAATTCAATGACACTTCAGACAGGAAAGGGTTTTTACTGCAGCACAATAGAAATCTCACCTGAATTTAGCCTATAACATTGCAAACAAGCTGGGCCAGCTGGGGCATTAAAAAAAACATCCCTGTTTATTTTTGCATTTATTATGCTAACTTACACATCCGCTGCACCGCATGATTTCCAGATGTGCATGGAGCTTCCTCAACCCTTGTTCAGCTTTAGTTTCCAAAGTTTTATTGTGGGACTGGGGCCAGACAGCACGCCACAAAACAATTCCACACCTCTTCAGCCTCAAAGGTTCCGAATCATCGAAGTAGCTAATTCCAGGGATGTTCTCATGTTTTTTTAAAGTTTGTTTTTTAAAAAAAGCCTCCATAATTTTTGGCTCACTGTGGCCCAGAAACATAGTGCTGAAATCATAAAGTCAGGCAAAATTAGGACTCCGTTTCTAGAGGGGAAAATTAATGTGGAATGTGCAGTCTTTGGCAGCTTAGTTGCCTCGCTCATTTAAGCAAAGGGTTTCCATAGCCAGGTTTTGTTCTAGTTGGTCAATGTTCCTCTGTTGGAACAATCTAGGCTGGGAGTAATCTCTACTGAAGCTAAATGAAGTCTGGATTTGTGTGGCTGTGCGGACGTGAGCGCAGGCACACACACGTTACGTGACAAGGCAGATCCACTTTTTCCTGTAAGCGACTCGGGTGTGTGCAATTTAATTTAATTTATATTATGGCCAACCTCACTGCATTTGAACTCAATCCATTACAGATACTCCTGGACTTAAACAACAGTTCAGTTAGTGACTGTTCAAAGTTACAACAGCACTGAAAAAAAAGAAACGTAGGACCATTTTTTCATATTTACTAACGTTTCAGCATCCCCGTAGTCATGGGATCGAAATCCAGGGGCTTGGCAACTGGGCCCTATTTATGACGGTTGGTGTGTCCCAGGGTCACTTGATAAACTTTTGCAAACTTCTGATAAGCAAAATCAACGGGGAACCCAAATTAACTTAACAACCGAAATGATTCAGTGACATTGTAGCTTTGAAGGGTGATTAAAGAAACTGTTGTAAGCCCAAAACTACTTGGAGTTCCTTCCATCTGCTAGGATCAAACAGGATAGATGAAGGGGTTTATGCTCACCCAAATTCCTACCCTCCTCTGATCACACTTCATCAACGATCAATTATAAAAATACATTAAAGTTCGGGGCAAATTGTAAATCAATATTCCAGTCGCAATTGCCACAGTAAACTACAGGATACAATTTTCACGCTGTAAGTAGAATCAGCTACAATTTTTTTAAAAAAAAATTGTTCTGGTTTGGAAGGCGGGCATCCCTTAATGTGTTCCTCGATCAATCCAAACACAAGCACAAGACAAAAATCTCCCCCAGCAAAACCTAAAGATTGAGAACCATTTTAGTCATCACAACAATCGCCACCAATGCAGGTTATCGCTAGGAAGTTGGCGATGCAAAGCTTCGATTTAACTTAAGAACAATCATTAAGTACAATTGCAGGCGTTTATTTGGTTAATGGGGAGGGGCTATGTAAAGGGATATGACCATACATCAAAACCCACCCACCCACCCCCAAAATAACTGCAACACACAGCAAAATGCCAAAAAGTGAAAGGCATGCCAGGCCAACCCTCTAACCTGCCGTCATCGCGGTGAGATGCTGGTCTAATTTTAATACCAGCCTGTTCCAACTTCCTCAGCTTCCTGATTTGCTCTGAGCCATTTTTCTCATTTTGGGGCCCTGCTGTTTGGTTACCAGAATGGGGAAGAAACTGAGGCAAAAGGTTCTTTGGAGCCATGTCCGTCTGCACGGGCTTCGCGGAGGGGGATGCACTGGTCATCCTGCTGCTCGTGAAGTCCCCTCCAAGTGGCGGCAGCGGTTCCTCTTGGATGGTTTCGGGATGGCGTTTGCTACCGAGTTACACAGGGCAGATTATTACGCAGAGCATGACTGATTCCTTAGAAGAGGGGTCCCCAACCTACGGGCCACAACCCAGTACCAGGGCACAGGCTCTTGGCCAACGGGCTGCAGAAATGGCTGGCCAGGGTGCGCACACATGGGCACGCATCCCCCCACTCATGCTAGTGCCTACGACCCTGTTTGCTCATGTGCACGGGCGCAAACAGGAATGCTAGTGTGGAGGCGTGCATGCCCCGTTTGTACATGAGTGAACTATTGCTGGGAATGTGTGTGCGACCCATTCGCGCATGCTGCTGCAGGGGGTGCACAGCCATTCACGCATGGGCATGGTGCCAGTGCATGCCACATGCGTGAACGCGGCCGCTAGTAGTGCACCAGTGGGTGTGGGCCCGTCTGCGGGCGTGCCCACGCGCGCGCACGCAGTAATTTGGAAGCTGCTCTCCCCTCCGCGAGCCTGGAAAGGTTGAAGAACCTTAGAACACAAAGTTGGTAGGGACTTTGAAGGTCTTCTAGTCCAACACCCCCCCCACTAAGGCAGGAGACCCTATTATCACTCCAGACAAATAGTGATCCAGTCTCCTTTTGAAAGTCTCCAATGATGGAGCCCCCACCACTTCCCAAGGCAGGCTCCTCAGATATTGCACATCAGGAAGGTTTTTTGACCAACCAGCAAACCAGATAATCAGAATTTGGGGGGGGGGGAGAAGCTTGATAGCCAATCAGTTCCAACGCTTCCCTTTGAAGTCTTTCCATCCCATCTGGCTGTAACACAGCCCACAGCATCAAAGGTGTCATACAACATTACAACTGCTATATGCTGCCTTCGCCTCCTTTGTCAGCTTCTCATTTTTTTGCGTCCTGGAGTTTTAATCTAATCTGGGAAATTTTTTGGGGGGGGAGGGAAGATCTGGACGCCCCTTTGGATTAAGAGTCAACAGTCAATTCTCAGTTAAATAAAAGTCAGAGAACAATGCCAGGAAATTGCACGGGCCAAGTTGCCAATTCACATCTTATTTCCGTCGTGATTTTTCTTATCTTTTTTTTTTAAAGCCTACGATGTTTTGCGGAGTAACGCGAGTCTGCTAACACATTCTCTACGGGGAGTCCTCGACTTACGACCAACATTTTTGTCGCTAAGCCAGACTTTTGTCGAGCAAATTTTGCTCCACTTCACGACCTTCCTTTCCATAATTGTTAAGTGACTCCCTGCGGTTCTTAAATTCGTTAACCCAGTTGTTAAATGTGTCTCGCTTCTCCCCCATGACTTTGGTCATCAGAAGGTCGCAAAAGGGGATCACTCGACCCTGGGGACCCTGTGACTGTCATAAATTTGAGTTGGTTGTCAAACATCCGACTATACATATAAATGGAGATGCTGCAACGGTCGTAAGTGTGAAAAACAGTCGTAAATTGCTTTTTTCAGCGCAGTTGTAACTTCAAGTGGTCACTAAATGAACTGGTGTAAGTTGAGGACTGCTTGTATTTAGGACTTAACACAGGGGTCTTCAAACTTGGCCCTTTTATGACTTGTGGACTTCAACTCCCAGAATTCCTCAGCCAGGCACGTGTCCACAAGTCATAAAAGGGCCAAGTTTGAAGACCTCTGATGTAAGGCAACTTGGTGGAAGTAGAATGGCTAAGCAGTGGTATGTTGAAAGAGGGGTCTTCAACCTTGGCCACCTCACGACTTGTGGACTTTAGCTCCCAGAATTCCTCAGCCAGCATGCCTGGCTGAGGAATTCTGGGAGTTGAAGTCCACAAGTCATCAAAGGGCCAAGTTTGAAGACCCCTGTCTTAACATCTGGGAAAGAGAGAGAGGAGAAACAGGGACAGATGGAATAATGCTGGAATAGATGCTGTAGATGTTGAGTATGGGTTTAAAGGAGGACCACGGGAGCGAGACTTCAATCCCACCGGCAAGATCCTTGTCTTGACTTTTTTTGACCTCCCCACACTCCTCCCGTAGACATCTCCCGTGAGGACTATGGAAAAAAAAGAGCGTATAGGAGGGTTTTTGAAACCATCCTGCCAGCCCAGGAACACAAAGCAGAACAACCGTCTCCGAGAGACCTCGAGAACATCTGAAAAAAGTCCCGGCTCTCCGACTGCAGGGAACTGATAGCAAAGCATCCCTCTGGAAAGAAAACAGCTTACCACTAAGAGTGGAGGGGACCCAAATTTCATCAACGGGAGAATGAACCATGCGGGTGATGGAAGATTCCCAGGAAAAAGTTCATTTGAAACGAGTACCAAACCATCAGGCAAGACGAGAGCAAGAAAAGTCATCGGTGAACGGGACAGGCACCTGCCTTTGTGGGGTCCCTGGTGATCTCTGAGCTTGGGGGGTTTCTTGCCAGCGGTTCATTACTCAAAGAAGGGAACATCATCACTGCTAGAAGGGAGGAGGAGGAGGAGGAGGAGGAGGAGGAGGAGGAGGAGGAGGACGACTACAAGGTCCTCAGAGTCTCATTGTTTTTTTGCAGATGTTTCATGACCCTACTAGGGAACATCATCAGTGCTAGAACAGAGTGGGGTTTGTAGAATAGAGGAGAAAGGAAAGGGGAGAAGGAGGAGGAGGAAGAAGAAGAGGAAGTGGAGGAAGACTGTGGGATCCTTGGCGCTCTCTGAACTTGCTGGTTTTGTTGCAGATGTTTCATTACCCAGCTGGGTAACAACATCAGCGCTCGAAGGGAGTGAGGGTTTTCTCTAGCCTTCCCCAAGGACCCCCCCCCCAGTTCAACCCTGAGCTATAAATACTCTCTTCTGTTGGTGACATGTCCGTGGAGTACGACGCGACTTGGTCATCTGAAGTTTGATCCAGACCTTACCTGAACGGTCTCTCTCCTCCTAGTGGGGATGACATGGTGCTCCAACTCTTCCGGAAGTCATCTCGTTCGGCTTTCTTCTTCCTGAGTGGAGCCGGAATATAGGCAGTCTGGTTGTTTTTGTTGGGAAGGTATTGGTTAAAAGGCACAACTGATTTGGGCTCGCTGTAAGACGTCCGCCTGGCAGACATGTCATCCTTCTTCACGTCTGGATGCTTTCGATGGGACAGGTCAGACTCCGAATCACTTCCTCTTCCTGTTTAAAAAAAAAAAAGCCACAAGCAGAGTTTCAAAATGGAGCTAAACGCGGGTTCCACCATCAAAATTCCGTTTATTTAGCCACAACGGGGCCCTTCTTCTCTTTCCCGTCTCAAAACGTACAGCCTGCAGACTTAGACATGTAGATGGGCTGTATTACTATTATCCTGTATTACTATTATCTTCTATATTTTTCCTATTACCTTCTACTATTGGTTTCTTATGTTTACCACTTGTTGATTGTATTTTATGATTTATGATTGCATCTTATGATTTATAATCTCTGACTTACCGCTCTGTTGTTTGTAGGTATACTGAGAGCTTATGCACCAGAGACAATTCCTTGTGTGTCCAATCACACTTGGCCAATACAGAATTCTATTCCATTCCATATTCCAATTTCTATTCTATTCTATTCTATTCTATTCTATTCTATTCTATTCTATTCTATTCTATTCTATTCTATTCTATTCTATTCTATTCTATTCTATATTCCAATATATATTCTATTCCATTCCATTCTATATTCCAATATACATTCCATCCCATCCCATCCCATCCCATCCTATATTCTGTTCTCTATTCTCTATCCTATCCTATCCTATCCTATCCTATCCATTCCATTCCATTCCATTCCATTCCATTCTCTATGCCAGTGGTGGCGAACCTATGGCACGGGTGCCAGAGGCGGCACTCGGAGCCCTCTCTGTGGGCACACGTGTCGTTGCCCCAGCCTTGCCTCCTCCCATGACACCCTCCTCACCAGCAGCCCCCCTGGAGGAGAGTCGCCCCCAAGCGTGGCCCATGCAGAGCTGTGCAGTCAAGGACACAGCAGCCAAGCAGTGTAGACAAGTTTCTGCCCTCACACCCCATCCCGCACAGTTGATGCTGCGGGGCGCGGGCAGAGGGCATGGCTGCCATGGTGCTGCTGGGCAATCTGCGGCGGGCCCTGGAGGCGATGGGTGGCCCTGCGGGCAGGCGGGGTAGGGTTGGGGCAGGGGCGGGGCCAATTTTTGGGCACTCGGTCTCTAAAAGGTTCGCCATCCCTGCTCTACGCCATGCCATGTCCTTCTTAGATTATTAACTGCCTGCAGAACCTCAAAGTAGTCCTTAAATTCGGCCCGGATAAAGCCAGGAATGCCATTTCCAAAATGCAGAATTTGAGATTCGCCAGCGATCCTTCAGTGGGAGAAAAGGGATGGAATCATTAGATAATATATTCACACAGTTAAGAGTCTTGGCCAAAGGCAGCCAGCCAAGTTTATCTCACCATGTTTTTCCTTCCAAGAGTAGGAGGGTCACACGCCTAGTGGGCCCGCTCTCTTTTTTTTTCGCTTTTACTGTTTCTAGGTAGCTAATTTGAAACTCAAGAGTTTAAGCTGAAAAGGGACACTGGAAATGCAAACTGGGGGGGGGGGAAGAGTTTTGAGAAAAAGGGAGCCTGTTTCTGCATTCTCAATGTCTTTCTTGCTAAGAAAGGCTATGTTGCACAACGCCATAGTCTATCTAAAAGATGCCTGCAGGAAATTTGGAGAAAGGAGATTTCATCCTCGGAGCAAAAAGAAAGAATTTCAGAGGAGCCCAAAGGAGGGGGGGGGAGAGAATCCAAAGTTATTTAAGACGGTAGAAAAAGCCGAAACAACATTCTTCAAAATGAAAAAGGTCTTCTGCAATCACGACATAAGGCTAAGATTGAAAATCAGGCTTGTCAGATGCTATATTTTTTCTATCCTGTTCTATGGAGTAGAGAGTCAGTCTCTGATAGAAGGCCACCAGAAGAGTCTAGAAGCATTTGAAATGTGGATTTACAGGCGGCTGTTACGTATAAGCTGGGTGGACAAGATCAGAAATGAGGAGGTGATCAGCTGCCTGGGAAAGCCCAAGAAATCGTCAAAACAATTAAAAAACGAAAGTTAAAATATTTCGGATACGTGATGCGACACCCAGAAAAATACAGCCTACTCCATTTCATCCTCCAGGGAAAGATGGAAGGCAAAAGAGGTCCAGGCAGAAGAAGAACATCGTGGCTTCAAAATCTAAGGGACTGATTTGGACAAAACTCAGCAGCACTTTTTTCGTGCGGCAGCTGATAAAAACAGGATCACTAACATGATCGCCAACGTCCGATAACAGATATGGCACAAGAAGAAGAAGCAATCATCTAATTATTCCAAACGTAATGCATTTAATTCTTTGCTCTTCAAGGCATATCAAACCAACAAAGAGTAAAGAAAGGGCTCCATCCCCCCCCCTCTCTCTCTCATATAAAATCAATGTTGCCAGGTTTTATAAATATAAACTAATGATCAATATGGGCATTAAAGAGTAGAGGTTAACCAGAACATCAGTAAACTCAACATTAAATTTGGGCTAAGAAAATTCTCATGCCACTCTAAAGTCTGGTGAATGGTTGTGATGGTGCAAAGCAGACAACACCCCCAACCTGGCTAGAAGGACAACTTTAGATAATAACTACACCGTCGTGCAATGAAACCTCGGGACAAGCAGGTTAAAACCAGTGAGACAAGAGTGTGCATAATTCTGTGTTCAGTCACGGGTTTAAACGCTGTACTTCCATTGCATTATTTGGGAAAAGGAATCAAAATATTATTATCCTCCTTGACAATCCTTCAACTATTTCTCTCTGAAGAGCAAAGCAAAACCACTCCCTTAAAGGAAATATCCCTGCTGTATTATTATAGCTACTCTACTTTTGTTAGCAGTATCCATTAGAAAATATTTTTGCTAGCGATTATTAGAATCGTATTATAGAGCTACTCTATTCAATTCCATCTTTATTATGGTCCAGAACAAAAAGTTAAATATTAAAAGAAAACAAAAGTGAACTGAACGAAACAGAACAAGGCATAGTGATATATTACAATGGAGCTACTCTACTTTTGTTAGCAGCACCCATTAGAAAGAATTTTTACTAACTATTTTTAGATGACTATTACCTTAGTACTTTTGTTAGCAGTGCCCATTGGAAAGCATTTTTGCTAACCATTGTTAGATGACTATTACCCTAGTACAGTGGTGGTGAACCTATGGCACGTGTGCCTGAGGCGGCACTCAGAGTCCTCTCTGTGGGCACGTGCGCCATTCCCCGGAAATGGCAACCAACCCTCTTCAACCAGCCAACCGCTAACTCGCCGAGGTCCCACGTGGCCGGATGCATCCCAGCACGGCTGGTTTCCCTCTCCCCCCATCCTGTCCCTCCTGGCCTCGCATGCTCTCCTTTTCCCAGGCACGACCCACTGCATCGCCTCCTCAGCTGTTGGCCAGCCGTCCAGTTCCGAGGCGGCTTCGCTGAACTGCTGGCAGTGGGCTGCGGAGCCCCAGAGTGTGCCAGTTGAGGGGCTGGCAGGCTGTGGCTGCTGACGGACACTGTCGGCCCCATGCGCTCGCTGGCCTCTGTGTGCAGGGGGCGATGGTGTCAGGCAGCAGCCACCCCGGCCCCTGTCTCACCTTGCCTCTCCTCACCCCACAGGACGAGCACCTTGTGCCCACCGCCCCACCTGCCAGAGACCCCCTGAATCTACCCCAACCCTGCCCGTCCCCCACAGGCGTCCCTCCCCACGAGCAATATCAAGGTGACCACGCCCATCTTGGCCACACCCACCCAGTCTGCCATGACCACTATAGCCACACCCACCCAGTGGGCCAAGCCCACCTGGTACCCGGTGATAAATAAGTGGGTTTTGGGTTGCAATTTGAGCCTAAAAGGTTCACCATCACTGCCCTAGTACTTTTGTTAGCAGTACCCATTGGAAAGAATTTTTACTAGCAATTTTTAGATCCACATGCCAAAACATACTGACCAAATCAAATTTCTGTCCACTGTACACCAAGGTGAATTGTCTACATGCCGGAAGTCTAGTAACTCTCTCTTTACTCTGTTGGGGGGCACGTTCCAAGCCAGGTTTGCTTTCTTTGACTTCTCTATAACTTTTGATCTCATGTTATTTGTTAAATAAATGCCAGCCTGCTCTCTCCTTACACTTCAGATGGGAAGAAATCCCATCTCATAAATTGGAGACCTGACGCAGCTACTCTTTGCCCCACAGCTCACGGCTGGGAGTGAAAAATGCGAAGAAAAAAAAAAAGGCTTTAGCAGCAAATCATCTCAAAATTACAGGTAGCTCTCGACTTACGAGCCCAACATTTTGGTTATTAAGTGAGACACTTGCTAAGTGAATTTTGCCCCATTTCACAGCAGTTCATTTAGGGACTGTTCAAAGTTACAAAGGAATTGAAAAAAGCGGCTTAGCACCATTTTTCATACGTAGGACCGTTGCAACATCCTCGTGGTCACATGATCAAAATTCAGACACTTGTAAAAAGGTTTTGAGAAATATGGACGGATTTAAGGATTAAGATTTAGAGTTGAAAATTTGTGATAATTAGAATATATATGTTAAACAGAGTAAGAATGTATTTTTTTGAATAATATGTTTATTTGTATGAAAATTATTTCGTAATGGAATGAGAAGAATATGAAAGAGGCTTTTAGAAATTCAGATAGCTTTAACAACTAATTGAGTGTGTTACGTTAGTAAGATGATGTTTTGTGTAATAATAGGTGTGTTCTTTTTTTTTAGATATGATAATTATTTGAATGAGATTTAAATGCTATTTGAAGTAATAAGAGAGATCTGTGATAAAATCAATGGTTTATGAGATTATGAATTAGAATATATCTGGATTAGTATTTTAAAAGGGATCCCCGAAGTGATAATACATTTATCTAAGGTTAAATTGGACTATGGTAATTGTAAATTAATAAAGCTCCAAACAGGATTAGGATTTATAGATATGTAATGTAGAAAGGGATTATGTTAAATAGGTTATATCATTTGAGGGAAATAGAGAGGGAACATTTAATGTATTTACTTGAGCTATTATATGATTTTGTTTTTGGATAATTGACTACCTAACCACCACGGTGTGTCTTGAGCATTCTGTTGTAAAAGTTAAAAAAGCAATAAAATTTGTTATTAAAAAAAAAAAAATTCAGACACTTGCAACGGACTCATATTTATGACGGTCGCAGTGTCCAGGGGTCACGTGATCCCCTTTTGCGACCTTCTGACAAACAAAGGATCAAACTCTTAGTCGGGTTACTAAGAGACATCCTGTTCCCCCCCCCAGGGAAGCCCGCTGTGGATACGGCAGCATCATGCACACACTGAGGCGCGTCGTATGTGACGTTGCGTCCACTTACCATCGCTGTTCCCTCTCAGCACCACATCTGGAGACGGCGTCTGCTGTGAGCGGGATCCGAAGGAATCCAGGCTGTCAAAGGAGTCATCCCGGCCGTGACGCGGGGGAGAAAGGGAATCGCTGCGCTCAGAGTCCCAGCAATCGATGTAGCCGCTGTCGCGGATGCTGCGCTTCGGGCTCTCCACGTCTTCTGTGTCCTGCTGAGGAACGGAAGCCTTGTTAGAAAAGCCCATCCTCTAAACCAGGGGTCCTCAAGCTCCAGTCCATGGACCGGGCCACGGCATGCCAACAACTGGGCCGCACAAACAAGCGAAGTCCCATCTGCGGGATGCAGGTAGCACACAAAACCACACCCTGTCCGGTCCGTGGAAAAACCTCTCTCCACGGAACTGGTCCCTGGTACCCAAAAGGTTGGGGACCTCTCCTCTAAATCAAGGGTCCCCAAGCCGTGTCCATGGACCGGTACCAGGCTGCGGCATGCCAGCAATCGGTCCGCGCAAACAAGCAAAGCCCCATCCGCGGGATGCAGGCAGCACACAAAACCATGCCCACTCCGGTCCGCGGAATAACCTCTCTCCACATAACCGGTCCCTGGTGCCCAAAAGAAACGGGGCCAAACTCACTTAACGACTGTCTGGCTTAGTGGTCGTAAATTGAGGACTACCTGTAGCCTGCGCCCACCTGCAGTATGGCTGAAAGTACAACATAAGTATGGGCAGTCTTTGGCTTATGACTATAATTCAGCCCACCATTTCTGTTCGCTAAGCCAGACATTTGTTAAAATGATTTTTGCCCCATTTTACGGCCTCTCTCGCCACGGTTGTTAAGTGAACCTCTTGTTGTTTAAGTTAGTAAATGGTTGTTAAGTGAACCTGGCTTCCCCCACTGACTTTGCTCATCAGGAGGTCGCAAAACTGGATCACGTGATTCCCCCGGGGATGCTGCAACCGTCCTAAGTACATGTCAGTTGCCAAGCATCTGAATTGTGATCACGTGACCCTCGGGACGCTGCAACGGTCGTAAGTGTGAAAAATGGTCATAAGTCACTTTTTTTCAAAGCTGTTGCAACGTCCAACGGTCACTAACTGAACTGTTGCAAGTCAAGGACAATGTGTATAGTTGGTTCTTCTTCCCGATGTTCATCCATGTTTATTGGATGCTGTGGTGACCTCTTTTTGTTTTCCTTCCTTACAACCACTTTTCTGCTCCCAACTGGGCGTTGTAGCTTTCTGAAACACTACGACAACTTGTTCAACCAGAAGCCACCAGGAAATAAAAGACCGTTGCGCAGACCCTGTGGGAAAACTGTAATTTGACTTTCCATTCTTTTCAAAAGCCTGTTTGTTTCTACCGTTACCGCCAGCACAAATGATCTGGGACGATAGCTGGTAACATAATCCAGAGCAAGGATTATTTTTTTGATTTTTTATTTTTGGACATTACTTTTTTTAAAATATTTGGACGACACAGTTCAACACACACACCCCAGTCGTTTGGGCTCCACCGTCTCAGTTAAAAGAATCCTTTCTAAACTCGCTTCAAGTCTGCTGTGAAAAGCAAAAACAATATCCACGGTAACAAACACACACACACCCCGTGCGCCAAACAGAAAGCTTAATTTATGCCGATAGCTTAAAAAAAAAAAAGAATTTAATGAAGGGGTTTTACAACATCTGGTGAAAATAAAACAATAATTGTGTTTCATCTTCCACCACTACAATTCCGCTAGGGATCTTCCCGACATTTTCCCAGAGCTTAAAAAAAACGCATCAATCTCAGCAACAAGCGTTGCAAAATAATTGTGCTAATGCCCATTTCCTAATACATCGAGGAGGTAATAAAAATAAATAAAATAACCTGAAACACGGCTAGTCCCTTCTCCACATCTGCTTCACAAGGGCTGCTCTCCATATCGTACCAGACGAGGCTTCCCGAGTTTCAAGTTAGCAGGCAACCCATCTCCAGCCTTCCCTGAACAGATGCCTTCAAAATCATGTCCATCGGCCTCGGAACTCCAGCAAAAAGGAATTTATTGCTGGCTGTTGTTGTTGTTTCAAACGAAGCAGCAACCCAGCTCCAGGCTCCCTGCCCCCCCCCCAGGACCTTCTCCTATCCTCCAGGAGAAACTGCAGTTCTGAAAAAAGGAGATGTTTTTTCTTCCTAAAGCAATCAGCCGTTTCAAAAAGAGAGAGAGAGAAAGAGAGAGAGAGAGAGGGAGGGAGGGAGGGAGGGAGGGGAAGAAAGAAGGAAGGAAGAATGGATGCAAGATGGGAGGGAAGGAAGAAAGCAAGGAAGTAAGGAAGGAAGGAGGAAAGAAGGAGGAAGGAAGGAAGGAAGGAAGGAAGGAAAGAAGAAGGGAGGGAAGGAAGAAGGAAGGAAGGAGGAAGGATAGAAGAAGGGAGGGAAGGAAAGAGGAAGGAAGAAGGAAGGAAGGAGGAAGGAAGGAAGGAAAGAGGAAGGAAGGAAGGAAAGAAGGGAGGGAAGGAAAGAGGAAGGAAGGAAGGAAGAAGGAAGGAAGGAGGAAGGAAGGAAAGAGGAAGGAAGGAAGAAGGAAGGAAGGAAAGAAGAAGGGAGGGAAGAAGGGAGGGAAAGAAAGAGGAAGGAAGAAAGGAAGGAGGAAAGAAGGAAAGAAGAAGGGAGGGAAGGAAGGAGAAAGGAAGGAAGAAGGAAGGGAGAAGAAGAAAGGAAGGAAGGAAGGAAGGAAGGAAGGAAGGAGGGAAGAAGGGAGGCAAGGAAGGAAGGAGAAAGAAAGGAAAGAAAGGAAAGGAAAGAAAAGAAAGCAAACTCTTTCCCTGATGTCTCTGAAGAATTCAGTCTTGCCCTTTGCTTGTTGCCAGCTCCTGGCTGGAGGAGACTGGAGAGCACTTGTGGCTGCCACACATGTTCAGAGCCAGGAGAACAATGGAAGCCTTTGACCGTCTCCCAATTATAAATTCTTTCCAGTGCAAGCGGCGCATACTAAAACGCGGAGAGCTCCAGAAGACGGAAAGGTCAGGGGGAACCTTTTGGAGAAGAAGGCCGCCCCTCCTTTCAGCTAGGATCCTGTCCAACCCCCTGCTCCAGCTGGAAACCCTATTACCACTTTGGACAACTTCGCCTTATAAGCCTCCAGTGTCGTGTTACGGAGCACCCCCACCTTCCGGTGGCAAGGAGTTCCGCTGGTTCATCGTCCTCACTGTTCGAGGTTTCTCCTTAATTCCAGGTTGCTTCTCTCCCTGATGAGTTTCCACCCATTGTTTTCGTGTCCTACCTTCTGGTGCTGTGGAAAATAAGTTGAGCCCCTCGTCATCCCTCCAGCTTTTTCAGAAGAGACTGGACAGCCCGTTGCCTGAAACGGTGTGGGGTCTCCTGATTGAGCACGGGGCTGGACTAGAAGACCTCCAGGGTCCCTTCCAGCTCTATTCTGATTCTTTGTGGCAGCCCCTCCAATACTGGAATGCTGCTGTCATGTCACCCCTAAACCCTTCTTTTTTCTAGACTAGCCAAAGCTTTCAAAGTTTTGTTTTTTCCCTGTCTCTCCCTTCTTCTCCCTCCTCGTCTTTTGAATCCAAAGGACAAGGATAATAGGACGACACCAGTCCCGTGTAACTATGAGAGATGCTTCTTGGGGGCCAGCTGAACAGCTGAAATGCTACACTCCTGGCTTGCCAGTTAAACTTCCTTCCACAAAGAATGGCTCAGAATTAGGTCTACAGGGATTCGTCTCTTGCGTTAAACAGTTGTAATCGCCCGAGATTTGCTAAGGGATTTCTAACCGTCTAACCACAATCCCAAATCCTTAATCTCGACCCACACCGACACCAACGACACAAGTTTGATTGGAGCAACAGTGCTTGAGGGGCTGTCATAGAGGAGAGGGGATTGACGTGCTCTCTAGGGCAGGAAAAGAAGCCCTGGGTGGAAGCTTGTCAAAGAGAGAGACACCCTAGAACAGTAATGGCGAACCTTTGAGAGACCGAATGCCCAAACTGCAACCCAAAACCCTACTTAATGTATCGTCGGGTACCGAGTGGGTGTGGCCCATTGGATGGGTGTGCCCAATTGAGTGGGTGTGCCCAATTGGGTGGGTGTGCCCAACTGGGTGAGCGTGGCTGCAGTGGAAACAGCAGATTGGGTGGGACTAAAAAGTTCAATCAACCAATTCCAACTTTGCGAAATCTTTTTTTTTTCCCGTGAGATGTTGAAATTGATGGATTGATCGAACCTTTTTTTTTTTTTTTGCATATGGCGGCAGAGGCCTAAAGCGAAAAGGTTTTATAAAACCCAGCTGAAGGCTTAGGACTGGGTGACGACACGCGTGCCCACAGAGAGGGCTCTGAGTGCCGCCTCTGGCACCCATGCCATAAGTTCGCCACCACTGCCCTAGAAGTAAGGAGAAATTTTCTGACAGTGAGAACAATCAATCAATGGAATAGCTTGCCTCCTGGGGTTGGGGGTGCTTCATCACTGGAGGTTTTCAAAAATAGACTGGGCAACCATTTGACTGGGTTGATGTAAAATTTCTACCCTGAGTAGGGGGCTGACCTAGAAGGCCTCTGAGGCCCAGCCCTAGGATTCTACATCTTTTTTTTTTTTTTTTTTTTTATTAAAAGTTTTATAAATTTTACAAAAAAGAAAAAAGAATACAAAACAAGAGACAACATATACAAAAAAAATAAAACTAAACAATACATATATAAAAAGAAAACCCCCCACCCCTCCCAAAAAACCCCCCCCTCCCTTCCCCCCCCCGAGCTTCCCAGAGCAGAATATAGGCTTAAGAAGTAAAAATAAAAATTAAATTAAGAACTTTATATTTATATATATAAAAAGATTATCTATAATATATATGAAAATAAAACTTATGAAAAAACTATATAATATTTTTGTATACCCAATCTAAATTGTATAAATTTTATCCATTTATCCCAAACAGCAAGAAACTTCTCTTGCGTTTGTTGCTTTAAGAAAGCCGAAATCTTTGCCCTTTCCGCCAGATAAGCTACTTTAAGAAACCATTCCTGCAATGTAGGCAAAGATTCCTTCTTCCAATATTGTCCTACTAACAGCCTAGCGGCTGTAATCAAATTTAACATCAAAACAACCTCCTTTGTATCACAATCTGTAACAATACCTAACAAAAATAATTGCGGAGTAAATTTTACCCTCCTTCTAAAAATTCTCTGGATATTCCACCATATTTTGATCCAAAATGCTTTTA